TCCGGCTCGGTCGACACTCAGATATTCAATAATTTTCAATATCGGATACGGAAGGCCTTTCCTTAAACTATCCTCCAGTTCCATTTCCATTGAAAATACTGCAACTGTACAGTGAGTAAAACGTGAAAATGCCACTGAAATTAATCTAAATATACAGTTAACTTATTCAAAAACAATGAAAACATCATATTAGTGCTGGCAGTCTGCCAAGTTGGTTGCTAATTCAGTTACTCACAAAAACCGGTTTATTGACAAAAATCGAATACCAGCGTTACGCAGACCCTCCATCTCACTGAGTTAAAAACAAATATGCTTCAATAATCTCATTTTTTTAAGCGAACGTGTGCAACGCCAGTAGGCTTGTTGTTTTGGCAAATTAGCACTACTCGCAGCATGAAATCGATGGTTTGTCAAGGTTGACAGCAAAACAATCCCTCTTTTCTCTCCCTTCCTCTAGATCATTGATTCATTCCGGTGGTAAATTGGTATTGGCATATGCTATCAGTACGTTCCAAATAATCCACGGAGGAGAAGGCAGGTCATCGACAATCTGACCAGCGAACGATTGCTGCTTGGCAGTATGTTAACACATCGGCTTCTTCTTGGCTTCTTTCTGGGATGTTCCGGGATTATTTCGACGCGGTAATGGCTTTACAATATTCAAAGTGAGCTTAAAAGCTGGGATTTTTCGAACATGAAATTTGGAATAAATAAAAATCAGAGATAAAGCAATTTACCATTAAGAAATTCGAAGCGTTCGTTGTACTCCAAACCACTAAGTGACTGGTGTGCGCCTCCTGGTGCAGAGACATCTTAAAAACGGAAAATGCAATATTAAGAAAAAATTGCGGCCCGCACCACAGTTGCCAATACAGCCATGTATTACTTAAGACGTAAGTGTGTGTAAGAGTTGATTTTAAGCTTTTGGGGCCGAATATGGACCGGAGAAAACATCTTCGCAAATCTGCTCTTTCTTGGCCTCTGGTTGCGGATTTGACAATACACGTTTTGGTTACATTAGTAAAGCAAAAATACAAAAAAAATAGCAGACTGCACGAAATTTTGAAATTTTCGTGTTAAAAACCCGCAAAAAAACCAGTAAATGATTTTGAAACCA